TACGGCTCGCCTGTGTTTTGGCCTAGACTTCCTTCTAGCATTTAGTTCGTTGATTTCGATCGGCATTTTTCGATAAAACATTCACAATATCCGTCAGCTGTGAATAGATTACCGCAGTATCTTATTTCGGTGTTTTTTGTGTGATCCGGATAGCCGCAATTCATGCTCATGTGACAACCAAATTAACAAATATTAGGATACGGTCCATACGGGTGGAAATCATATAAGTGGTTGGTTAAAGTTTTCAAATTCCTTGGTTGACATACGAGTATCTCTCCAAAGAACAAGGGAGCGTAATTTTCTTCCACCATCATGAGGATGCTGTCCGGAAAGCGTAAATTCATTTACCGAGATGGTTCCGAAAACTTGCCGCTTAAAGAGGACAAATCCATCATCAAGTTGCCGGACTCACAACTAGTCATTAATGGCCGAAACCCGATACCTATAGCTGTTGCAATATTGCTTCAGTATCGAGGTAGGACAGCGTTGGCCGTGTTGCTACCTAGGACGTGTGATCGTCTTTAACCGCACACACAGTAAGTTCCGTCTAATAGGAGAAGTCAATCAGCTATGAGGAACGATTTATTTGATATGCAAGGCAGATTGCCGTGAGATGGCTGCTGGCTTATGTGACAGAACAAAAGGTCCGTTCGGGAGCCTGCGAGCAGCGGCGCGCTTGTGCATGTCCGTGTTATCGTGGGAGGTGGAGAGACTGTCTGAGTGTCGGGCATGTGATTGGTTGGTTCAAGGGCGGGATGTCTGGGGATGCGTAAGCAAAAGAGTCCATGGGTGACAAAACGGGATAGTTGATGCGCGTAAGATAGCCCTAGGTGTAAGCGAGATCGACTTTAGTCACATGCTTTATGTTCCTTCCCTCTAATAGGAGAAGTCAAGGTCTATGAAGACAGATTTCTTCGATACACAGGGGAGGTTGCCGTGAGATGGCTACTGGCTTGTGTGGCAGAACAAAGCGTCCGTTCGGGAGCCTGTGAGCAGTGCTGCGTTTGTGCATGCCCGTGTTATCGTGGGGGGCGTCTGGGTGTCGGGCGTGTGATTGGTTGGTTCAAGGGCGGTGTCCGGGGAGCGTGAGCACAAGAGCCCAATGAGTGACAAAACAGGATAGTTGATGCGCGTAAGAGCTGTACGTTTTCATTTGTCTGAAAGTTTAAAACGCCACAGGAACGCTGGACCCAGTAAAGTTATGGAGTTAATTTACATAAAAGAAATGTATTTGCTACAGTCTTTCGAACCAGTAACTTTAACATTCTGTCGAGCTGGACCTATTTGGTAAGCTTCACTGGACTACTGTTTGAAGTCTGGCAGCAGTTTAAAGTCTCCTGTAAAATTATGGATGCATTACTGTGTGAGGGAGGGAGCGACCTAGGCTTCCTATGTCCAGTAACAGTATCATGTTGCTCACTTGGATGCTGTGTTAAAGAAAGTATATTTGAGGAAGTGACCTCTTGGAAAAGCAAGTGTTCATGATTATGAGCTGAGCTAGAGCTGTCGAGTATCTTATGGCTATTTACGTAACATTAAGTGGGAGGACATTCGCGACAAAGACCAGGGAGACTGAAATGGCCATTTCTGGCTTATGAGCCCTCGTCAACCGACCATATCCAACCACAAGTGTTGCGCCGCCTGGGGATCGAACCCGCGATCTGTTGAAATCCAACGCTCTAAACATTGAGCCACGAGCTCGTGGTCTTGACGGTTTAGATTGGGAGATATTAACCATTAACTCTAAGCACATAATAATATGCAACTACGAAAAAGCCATAAGAACATACTGCCTGTTTACGGGGCTCCCAGCCTGCTAGAATTACCAGTCACTGGGTCCAAATCCATGAGGCAATATCAATTATTCAGGATTAGAACATTTGCGTGGTAGTTTGACTCAATATGGAAACATGCCTTCTAGCTTGCTAAGTTGCCAGACCAACTTCTGCCTATAAAGTCTGAAAATCATTTGATCACACCGGGGAAGAGGTGACACTACTGATAAAGTTGCTGTTTCACCAGCAAGCAAAAGCTGATGTCTACCTAAAAATCCTGATATACGGGAGGCAATGAGAGGCTACATGGTCTATTGACCTTTCGCATCGTGTATAGCCCCATAAAATAAAGGAGTTACTAAAATATAGGCAATAAATTATTGCTCTGCCTTCATGGAAAGGCAAACCGAAGGCATATAAATTCATAAGAAGTGCAGGCGAGATGACGTTAGATTCTAACAGGGTGCCCATTCCCAAAAGATTACCTTTTCCAAACCTAATTCCTAATCCTAACCTCTCTGGAATCGGGTGCGCGCCAACCGTAACTATACGGCGATGCTCTTTCCAGCA